TTTCTGGAAAAAGAATACTTTCTTTAGAAAAGTGAAGACTGCGCGGGGACATGATAGTGGTTTTCAAGTACTTAAAAGGGTATTACAAGGAGGAGGGAGAAAAATTGTTCTCCTTGGTCTCAGAGAATAGGATAAGAAGTAATGGACTTAAACTGCAGCAAGAGAGATTTAGGTTGGACATCAGGAAAAACTTCCTAACTGTCAGAGTGGTTAAACATTGGAATAAATTGCCTAGGAAGGTTGTGGAATCTCCATCTGTGGAGATATTTAAGAGCAGGTTAGTAACAAAACCAAAGAAGAGGTCGCAGCACACCTGCGAGTTGTTCACAGAACACCAGGGTTCCGCAGAACATAGTTTAAGAAACTCTGGTCTAGACAATGCCTGGTCCTACCGTGAGGACAGGGGACTGGACTCAATGACCTTTCAGGGTCCCTTCCACTTCTAGTGTTCTATGATTCTGTGATTCTTTAGAAAAATAGAACGTCACTATATTGTAAGGACCTTTCAATCTGACTATATTGCAACGACAATCCTTTATTTTTATGTCAATATTCTACTGTGGAGGTGGTCACTGTGAACTATCTAAATGACTCTGTATAGTAAGGAAATGTTTTCAAAGACTGCTTCTCCCATAAGGTTATGAACAAGTGGATCTATTCTGGGCATCTCCTATGCTGCCATAACTTGCCTAGTATACTCCAACCATTTCTTCAGAATACTACAGGTGCTACAGGACCATTCAGAGATCATTCCTTCAGAAAAATGTTTCAGAACTAGACTTCAAATTTTGCTTGGAATTGGAGATTTTTCCTGTGATGGCATTCTATTTTCAGGATCCCAGCTGCGATGTAGTTGTGACATTTGTTTTCCACGTTGGACCTTGCCTATCCACAGAACATGAGAGAGAATTTGTCTCTAGCTGAAAATTTGACTCTGAACATAGCTGAAAAGAGCATTAAGGCTGAAAAATATTCCATGGTGTTTCATGAAAGGTGGAGAGAAAAAATGAATAGTGCATAGTTCAGTTCCTGTCATAGACACAGATTTCTTGTGTGGCCCATTCAGTCTATCAAGGCCCTTTGTTCCTCATCTGTAAAAAGAAGATAGTGTTTCCCGACTTTACAGGAGAGTTATGAGATAAAATCAATGAATAGTTGGGATGTGTTTCAGTATTATGATGATGATGTCCATGTAAGAACCTACTGTGAAAAAGAACTGGAAGGTTCATTTGGCATACCTGGTAATGAGATCTGGTACAAATGGAACATTTTTTTTCTGAGAAAAAAAATTCTAAATCTTTGGGAGCTTGTTTTAGCCCGTAACTAACTCCAGTTGCAGGAAGTATGCATTGAAAGATCAAAGTAAGAAACATTAAGTAAGTTTGTTGAAATGAAGTGTTACTGGCATATGTTCTTCATCTCACAAGATCATTGACTGCATACTTTAACAACTGGGATAGAAGACAAATGTTTTAGGCAGAGTCAGCAGAAAAGCCTGTACTTCATTTGATCCACACAGAGCTTACACCTTATTGAAATACTGTAACAATTCTAAGCATTCACTTTTGCAGGAGCACCAATATAAGTAGTTTACTCCTTATATGACTATTTGTATAGGCCAATTTATATAAATGATACAGGGGTAATGATAAGATGAACAGATCCAGAAGAAGCTCCAGGAGCCTCTGCAATCCCTTCCCTATTCACTAGCATGAATGGGAACTGTGGCCATGGTAATATGTTTTTCCTGGCCCCTTTGAGGTGCATGGACTCCTCCAGATATAGAATGCAATTGTCCTTAGCTTTCTAGACAGCACAGTCACATCAGCCCAACCCCACACGTCTGCATTATGTCTAGTGACAAGCTCTGTGTTAACATACTTGATGCGTTCCAGTGAATATAGTCACCAGTTCCACTAGTGATTATCTGATCTGAAATAAAAACAAATTAGGTTGATCCATGCCCAAGTTTAAATTGATAATTAGTCTCCTTAATCATGAAAGACAGCATGGTTTAGTGGATTAGGCCTGGGAGTTAGGCAACGTGGGTTTTATTTCTGATTTTGCCACTGACCTCCTATATGACCTCAGGCAAGCAACTTCACCTCTGTTTCCTTGTTCACCTTGTGTCTGTCTTGTCTATTTAGAATGTAAGCACTGCAGTGGAAGGGACAGTCCTCCACTAGGGACTTGTCTATGCACAGTTTTTGTACCATACCACTTTAACTAAATTTGTTTAAAAATAGATTTAGTTTAATTAGGGTTCCTTCCTAAGCTGGCTACAGTAGTCCTAGTATCAAGGTCTTTATATTATTATAGCTTGTTGCAGTAAATGTATCTGGTATTTAAATATGTTTGTACAGTGCCTAGCACTAACCCCCTAGGTACTACTGTAATACAAATCATTTCTAGCAGTACCCATTAATTGCTATCACACTGTGACATTTGGAGTTATAATTATAATATAGATCAACTTTTGTATGTGTATTTTTCTAGACTTTACTATCTTAGAAATACAGTGCAATTGCAGGAAGGATTTTAAAGTGCAAATGCATGTATTTTATGTGGTTAATTTCTGTACACTGTGAAATCCTCAGTTAAAAGCTATACTACTGATTGGGGCTTTAATATAAACTTACAGGTGAATATAAAAAAGGTTAGATAAGACAGAAATTGTAGAAGCAAATACAGTCCAGGTATTTAGAAGATCAGAGAGTAGCTCATGCTGTGTTGTAATATCTTTCTGACTTTTTTGCGTATCCTCCAGACTACTACATGACAGCTTAGTTTCTCACCAAGTAATATTAATCACTTCTTAATCAAGGTATACTGATTTTCAGCTTAAGACTAAAGAGAACTGCTTAACAATGTAGCATTTTCAGAAATGGTTGAATAATTCTTTGGAGGAAGCTGTAGGGGTGAATCTTTATTTATCTAAAGAATTAGAATGTTTTCTGCCAGCTAGGAACATTTCCTATCCCTAAATTCCAACCCTTCTAAGCCTTCCTGAAATTAAAGTCTAATCACTGAGACTCCACACACTAAGCACTTTCATTTCAGACTGAATGCATTGTAACATATAAATTTGAGGAGAGTTTTATTTAAATGAAGTCTAAATCCTAGTTTAAAAACAATTTTGTTACCATAGCTAATTGCTGCATGTGACTAGTACTGTTAGTTTGTTCTTTATATCTTTTGATTCAGCCTCTCACTGTACAGTATGTGATTTGGCAGTACTGTTCCTGTACGGCTGCCAAGAAATCAATACCATTTACTTCTTGATTTTTAAGTGAATCTGTATTTAGTAATTTTAGAAGAAATCTAATCATTTTCATGTCCCTAAGAGGTACATTGGTAATAGTGGTTGTATGAAAACTTATGTATCTCCAAAACTAAGTAACTTTGGCTACATCTACACTGCAACACTGTTTCAGGACATCAGAGTATTCCAAAATAGCTATCCCACATTTTAGCAGCAAGCCTATTATTCCACAGCAAGCTTACTATACCAACATCACTGCAAACCTCATTTCACAAGGAGTAGGGGATGTTTTGGAATAGTGGGTTATTTCAAAATGTGGCGCTGTGTAGACAGCACCGAATTACAAAATAAGGTCGAAATAAGATACACAATTTGTGTAGCTCAAATTTCGTATCTTATTTTGAACTACAGTGTATTATAGATGTAGCCTTTATAATTTGCAAATAGTAGAAATACTAATGTCTGTTTTCTATATTTGCATATTTTGAAAGTATATGTTTATAAAGCAATATTTGTATCTGATACTTGCTCACATTTTGGCACTAACACATAGTTTATTGTATCCTTCCTTTTCAAATATTTTAAGTAATAGTTGCCCAATGTCTGTGACTCTGTAATGGTGTAATTCTTGGTGTTGCCTCTGGGCAGCGCTGTTGCCTCTGTAACGTCCTTTACCTCCCGCCATGGCACTCAGCTGACTTCTGCACCACTCAGCCGGGCCGCTGCAGGGGCACAAGCAGCCGTTTGGCCCCGTGCTTCCCATGCAGCACCCCAGTGGGGCCCAAATGGCCGCTTGCGCCCCCGCGTCAGCCCAGCTGAGCCAAGTCATCTGAGCGCCACGGCGGGAGGTGAAGGGGGGTGGGGCGGTGACGTGCAGCGTGACATTGGCTCAAGGCCTCGCCCCCTGGCCATGAACAGACCCTGGCCAGGGGAGGGCAGGGGAATGAGGGGGAGGACAAATGGGAGGCTGCAAGGTCAGTGCTGGGGTGAAGGGAAATGGTGCAGGGGGGCAGCTGGAACTCATAGGCAGCCACTCAGCCGGTCTGCTGCGTGGGAGCAAGTAGCGCAAACAGCCTTTTGGGCTCCATGCTCCCCATGCAGGAGGAGGAGGAGAAGAGAAAGAATGTGAGGCAGGAGGGGGAGAAGAGAAAGAGAGACGGAGAGAGAGGCAGGAGACAGAGGAGAGCTGAGGGGAGGGGCAGGCAGTAGGAGGAGTGGAGAGAGAGAGACAGAACGAGAGACTGGAGGCTCAGGAGAGAAGACCGAGATAGAAAGGGAATAGGACGTGGAGGAGAGACCTGAAAATCCCGTTTTATGATGGGCTAATTGGCTAGTATTTTAAGTAATACACTATATTCTGTGTTATCTTTTC